CTTTCAAGGCATGGTGAAAGCACTGACACTGGGACTGCCCAAGGTGAAAAAGCACACTCACACTCACTTCCCGAGGCAACATGCACGGACTCTCTAGACTCTAGATTTTATCAAGGGCGGCTGGGGGTTGACGGACTTTAGCGGGTTGACAGTTTACGGTTTCAAGTTTAGGGTTTAGCTTTAGGGTCTTTAGTGCGCGGGAAGTGGGTGCCCTAGGCTGACAAGCGTGGACAGGAGCACGGCGCCGGCATTGGCTACATGAAAAGAGTTGCCAATCAAGGCGGCAGCGTTGGGCAACGAACACGTGAGCTCGTCAACGTGCACGCCGGCTTGCGTGGCCACATCAGCTTTGCACGGAAAGCCCATGGCCAGCGCACGTTCGACTGGCAGAAGCCAGCGACCTTTGGCAGGCATGTACAGGATGCCATGGCAGGCCTTGAAGGTGCCAAGGCATCCTGGCGCTTTCGGTGCAGTGTACCCTGGACTCTGGCCCAAGTTGAAAACGCAGCGATGATCCATCTCGGCACTCACATTGTACTTCCTTTGCCACATGTCTCCGAACCGCTTCAGGTAGTCTTGCTGCTTGCCTGGCCAGGGCTTCAGGTTTTAAGGGTTCACAAGTTAATGTAGACTCTTTTGTTTCTGAGTGACAAATGCCTTGTCAACTTAAAGATGGGGCCCTGCCTTTGGCAGCTGTTCGATGCCCAGCCCTTGGCACCTGTTCGGTGCCCGGCCCTTGGCACCTGTTCGGTGCCCGGCCCTTGGCACCTGTTCGGTGCCGGTTTTTGGGTCGGCTGGCCCTGACTACTTAGGCGTAAACCCCAAAGTGCGAACCCTATAATTCGCAGAAAACCGACACGGCCACCCCTAAGCCTTGTAAGATCTGCTAGATTGAGAATGCAGCACGCAACGACTTCACACTGACATCTACAAACACTGTCCTGGCCTGTCAGTAAGTACTCCCAGTTCGGAGACGGCACGGTCAGGGGCGGCCAGCCACGCCTCGCCCGCGCACTGTTCTCCTCGCCCAAGACATCCTCCGGCATTGACAGTGACCTCAGTGTCGCAGAGCTGCGGCCGCCCTGAACCCGGACTCTGCAATAAAACCATGCCCTGCACTGGAACTCAGGCTGGCAAACACGACCCAGGCACACCGTCACGTTCTATGAAACCTATCCCGAAAAGAAGATGAGTGTTGCTTCAACTCACGCAAGCAACAGAATCGGCTGCCACGGGCAGTCCACGGGCAGCGGAGGTAGGTTACGTCGGGCAGCGCCACAGAGAGACGTGTACACTTCTTCGATGTTCCGCAGTATCTGCACGTCATTGCGGATCATGACATGATATAGTCGGTCTCTGGCCACGAAACCAAAGCCGACTTGCGCGGGACTGGCACGTATCTCGTAGAAGGCATACGTTTCTGACAAAATGTCTTTGGCGATGCCCACATCGAAACCACAAACGTTTTCCTTGGTATCTATTCTTCCAGAGTCATCTATTGCAGTGTAACCTAAGTCACTGGAGCAGAAAGGCAAAATGGACCCAAGGGAAGCAAGTGTCGTGGATAATCACTTTGGTTTGCAAGGCCAGGTGCAGGTATAGCCAGCACAAAAGACAGATCACGGTCCTTACTTGCTTCGGCCCTAAGCACAAAAATACACATTACAATGAAACTGACTGTGAAGAGATGCAGCTGCAAGGAGGAAACGATGAAATGTTGCCTCTGATGCAACCACGTCTCACGTCGTCTTTGCCCGTGTGCAAACCTGCAGATGACCATGCCACGCATGGACTGCCGCTCATGTCCAAGTCGCACCGTGGACGTAGATTGCCACAGCATGGACACGACAATTGCACTGGGCACTGGGAGAGAACGCTCTTCTTGTCCAAGAAAGAAAGAGACTCTAACGACTTCTTGGTGACGCCCTGTGGCAGGATAAAATTGTCCAGGATGTCATGGGCGCAGTGCGCTGCTGGGGCCCTCTGCCGAAGGATGCTCCGGCATGATTTGGCAGTGTCGCAGCAACTCGCTGAGACAACTTGTCCTCCCAGCTCCACCAGCGCACTGTTGATGAAACCCAATGCCACTTCCAGCGCTCCAATCCCGCTGAACGATGACGACACATGGATGTTGGAACACATCCATGTGTTCTGGAGACGCCCCCACAGGCGGGCCTCCGTCATCATGCGCTGTGCCCAACCAAAACGCACCGCCAGGGCCACCGAAAGCGAAGTGGTAGCGGTATGGTCACTGTCCATGCGTGTCAGCTGGAGTTCAGAAGAAACTTCCCTTGCCGGCAATGACACTGACGGCGCCTTTGACGGGACCTTTTTTGCCACCGTTGAACTGGCACTGGTAAGGTCAGCGTCCATGCATGCCAGCTGGAATCCAGAAGAACTGGTCTGTGCCTCTGACGGGGACTCGCCATGTGCACTCGCCGCCAGCAACAATAAACTGTCATTGACATGAGAACCGTCCATGCGCGGCAGCTGGAATCCAAAAGAAGACGAAGAAGTTGCCCGCGCCTCTGACGGGGACTTACCACTCGCCGCCGGCAAGGAGCTTGCACTGGCAAGAGAACCGTCCATGCATGGCAGGTGGAATCCAGAAGCTTCCCGTGCCTCTGACAGGGACTGGCCACTCGCCGCCAACAACGTACTGGTACTGGCCTGGCCACGCTCCATGCAGCATGGCAACGAGGGGGACAAGCCACTCGCCATCAGCAACGACTTGCCATGGGCACCGTCCATGCGTGCCAGCTGCAATCCAGAAGAAGCTTCCCTTGTGGGCAACGTCATTGACCATGTCTCTGAGGTGGACTTGCCACTCTCGCAGGCACTTGCACTGACATTGTCCAGCCCTGCATCCAGCACAAATCCACAAGATGACCCTGCACTCGAAAGGCCCTGCCACCCTGACTGTGCATGTGGCCGCTTCTTTGCTGCAACTTCTCCCGGAGTCTTGTTAGCGGCTGAAGCTCGTAAGCTTACCCACGTCCTGCCGCATGGGCCGACCAAAGCCTGTGGCACCGAAAAACTGCGTGGCCTCGAGAGGATCCAGCCCCACACTCGTGACCAGTCCTTGTAGAAATTCGGGTCCTCCACCCTGTGCTGCGACTTGTACGCGCCGGGATCATGGGTGATGTCAATCCTAGAGCTGGCTGACACACACACGATACATGTATATTGCGGAACGCTCAAGTAATAACATGACACCCAGCTTTGCGACAGCCAAGCTTCACATCCACTATTTCCACGGTCCCGAAGCACAACTTGTTCTTGACCAAGCCGATGCGGCCACGGCGAGTGGCCTTCCAGCTCCGAAGCTCCATTGTCTTCTCTCCAGTAAAAATAAGGTGCTGCCAGCGTTGGTCCTGAAATGCGGCAAAACAACATCCTAGAGTTGAATGGCCCCTGCCTTATGGGCGGGACCCAACCCTGAACCCTTTTCCCCAGCTACACATCCTAGGCAAACCCTAGAGCTTGAACTCTGAACCCTGAAACCCCCATGTTGAAATTCCTCCCACCCCCCTCCCCCTCCCCTCCGCCTCCTCCACCCCCCCCACGCAGCTTAAATAGGGTTTATTATTAACTATGTTAACGAATTCAAATTTGAATCCTGAAGGGGGGAGTTAAATAATGTAAATATGAAGACCCCGACTGAAACAATATGAGGGGCCCTCCAGATTCAACTTATTTGACTCATGTAATTCTTCCTTGAACGAAGGGGCCAGGCCAGAGCCAGCTCCGAAATTAAGCCGGTATAATTATCTAAATTATTTAAAGTATTTCAATGATATAATTGTTTGAATTCTTTATCTTATTAATTTATGTTTAAATTCTTGAAATTATGTAATTGATTTAAATGGTCTAATTGTTTTAAGTATCTAAAGTCACAGAACAACACCGAGCGTCAGCTTCCAAATAAACTTTAGATTCTTAACAAGATCCGAATCTCCACGATGAGGCCCATTTCCGGCATCTCATCTGGACACTGGAATGCCATGGCTTGAAGTGCCTGGTGGCCTGCTTCTGCGTTGCGGTGCCGGAACCATCAAAGAAATCTGAGCAACTGTCTTTCAAAACCGTTCTTGAGACCGCAGCAGCCCACACTGAAATCCCATGATAAACCAACTAAGAGGTATTGAATTGAAAGGCAATGACTGCTTGTGCCACGTCGACTGTGACTCGAAAGTGTCACGCGTCACAGTTTCAGGCATGCGGTAGTGTGCTGAGCTTCTTCATGCATCACTGAAACTGCCTGCGTATGCTCAGCATCGCCCAAAAAGCACAACATTTTTCATTTCCAGGTGCAAAAGGCACGGCAGGAGCTGCACTGACAGTGTGTTGCATTTGCTCCATGCTGCGCAGGTTAAAGGCATAGCACGTGAAGCAACTGAGGTTCCTGCGAGTTCTGCCTGCGTGTGGCCTGTTCTGAGGCTATGCAGCCTTTGGTCTATAGTCTGGAATGAGGGCATAGGATTTAGGGTTGCAACATAGACGTGCTCCTTGAGGCTACAGGTGACACTGACATGCAACTACTTCGTTGCGTGGTCCGCCTGGTCAAAATTCATTCCATGCTGCGCAGGTTAAAGACGCAGCACAAGAAGCAACTGGGGTTCCTTCCTGCGAGTTCTGCCTGCTTGGGGCCTGTTCTGAGGCTACGCAGCCTTTGGTCAACAGATTTTTTCATAAGGGCTTAGGATTTAGGGTTGCGACATAGACGTGCTCCTTGAGGCTACAGGTGACACTGACGTGCAACTACTTCGTTGCGTGGTCCGCCTGGTCAACATTCACTCCACACTGCGCAGGTTAAAAGCGGAACGTGATGCTCTGCCAGCGATGACGAAGGCTAAGGCAAACAGCTCAGGGCTTAAAAGGATTCAGGGTTGCAACATAGAGACGTGCACGCTCCTCTGACATTGCGGCTACAGGCGACACTGACATGCAACTACTTTGTTGCGTGGTCCACCTGGTCGAAAAAATGGTGCCCTTCAGACTCAGAGCTGGACGTGCCCTTGGCCAGGAATGTTTATTTGCTTCGTGTTCATCAGCAGCAACGACCTTGGTGCCAGCTGGCTGTCCTGCAGCACGATCTCCCACGTCAGGCGCAGCCTGCCAGAGGTCGTCTCGACAGCCTTCCACACTTGGGAAAGAATGTCGTCTTTTGCCGCGAGATACATGTTGCCGTCCGCGATGTTCGGCGTCAAGACAGGCTTGGCCGCGATCAGGGGCTTGTATCCGTACACTGACTTTGCACCTGCATGACATGGCCCGCGGTCTCCCCCAAGCAAGGACATGCAGTTTCGTTCTCGGGTTCTCGGGCCCAGCAGAGTCAAGATGACGTTGTTCCCCTGGACCCCGGCCCCTCCCCTCCTGGATCTCACCAAAACAGTTCTCTGCTGCACGCGGTCTGGCGGTATATACCCCTGTCTATACGCAGGCAGAAGAACCGAAATCGAAGGATGTGTGTGTGTGTGTGTGTGTGTTTCCTTCAATGCCAGGGATCCTGACAAGGACACTGGGCAAAATATTGAAAAATAAAATGATGCCCCAAAATCAAACAGGAACTTTCCCCCGATCTTGTTCGGCATCTACGCCCTAGGCATGTGCTGCAAGAGACTTCGAAACCGTCAGCCCTACACGCCAGAGCACAAGCCATTGGAAATGATCCCGCCTGATTTGCTGATCGCTGACGCCAGCGACATCACGCTCTTCTCGAACAGGACCATCGCCTTCAGCTCAAGTTTGTAGGGCACTGACAAGGTCGGCGCCGGTCCCGACGACATGCCAAAGTTCCCATTGCTGAACTGGTGCAGCACCTGGTCCTGGAATCCGGATGGACTAGTGACTATGATGGAGCACAGTATATAGAACCGCAAGAACGCACCATTCTGACATGAGGTCCTTGGGTAACTTCTTGTTCCCGGGCACACCACTCTTCAGGTGGATGGATCCGGTCTTCATCAGCATGACGGTGTACGCGAACGGCGTGTCCTTCTTGCCCAACTCGACGACGTCACCCAGCGGCGCTGGGACTGGCTTGCTCCCGTCCGAGGCCTCTGGCTCCGCATCTTCCACTGCGTCCACTGCCACTGGTGCTGGCACTGACAAGGACGGCGACTGTGTCGCAGGTGTCGCATCTGCACTCCGACTCTCAAAGAGCACATCCAAACACCCTTTGAACTTCTTCAGACGCTCGTCCGAGTCTCCGAGGATGGAGGACAGATTGGCAAGGGTCCAGTGTTCCTCGGTATGCTTTCACACAACGTGCCCTAAACCCTGAATCCCTCGCAAGTCCGTACTATCCGGCACAGGAGCTTCCAATAACCCTGATTCCCATCCTACCCTTTAAGCCCTGAAGTTGCATGAAGGTCCGAAGGCCTAAACCGCCGAAACCTGAATCGCTCCCCCTTTAAGACGACACCCCGTTTGTTACATACGCTACTTTATTTACGAGGTCGGGGGGAGGGGGGGTATTAGGGGGATTAAGAGGCCTGAAAATTCAAAAACGCCTGAACCTATCGACTCCCAGCAAGCCCTGCAATTCGGGGAAGTCGCCCCTTTGTCCACAAGAATAGGGCGGCCGGCCGCGACGCCACTGGCATTCCTTGGTGACTTTTCACACGCCCCTTCCTGGACTTCTTCCCATCACCATGATGTCAAAGAAATGTGTTTCCAACGCGCACCGACCGAGAATTGTCAAGAATCGGTGTGTGGATAACTAGCTTGATGAGCTTGCTGCAGAATCCCGCTGTGGCATCCACTTCAAAGCGAGCGTTCGGGAACCTGCACAAGCCAAGTTACAAAAGAACACTCCTGACAACACCGGCTGCCATCGTCACCCGACTCGCTTCTTCGGCCTCTGGATTCCTCGGAAGTGCTGCGCCCACCGCGCTGGCCCCAGCTGAACAGCCAGCACGTCTTGCATCGAGCCTTGAAGGGAGACGTTCTGCAAGCGAACCTGAAGGCCCATTCAGCAGATAGGGACAGAAAGCGAAAGAGATGCACGCGTGCACACACACACACACACACCCACACACACACACACACACACACACACACACCGGGGCCCACACCAGGCACTCGGCCAAAACTGCATGCCCAGGAAGCCGCAGAAAAGCAGTGGCTTTGCTCTCAGAGCCTAGGCACGTGTAATATTTGTAGACCTCCATCTTGAATTTACACATGACAGTAAGTGTGTGCGTGTGTTTACATAGGAATAATATTGGCCGGGGCGCTGAAGAAGGCAGAAGGGCACCATGTAACCACCTCACCATCCTTTAGGCCTCGTTGCGTGACGAGGACTCTGCTGCCAGCCTCAGACATCTCGAGGCGCAATGCCTGGAGATCGAGTATGGTTTGTATAAGCCTCGGCATCTCTGCCTCCAGCGAGGTGTAGCTTCTGTCGAGGCCTGAGAACTTGTCTTCGGGCGGAGTAGAGATGTCGGCCAGCTCTATAAGCTGATCCTTTTCTGCACTCACAATGGAAAGGGTGCGATCATGGTTCCTACGATCTAGCATCTTAGCGCCACCGAGGAACCGCCAGAGTAAGAAGTGGGCCAGGAATGGCCAACGTCTCCAAGTCCGACACCTGAAGCTTGCGCTTTGCACTTGCAGACGCAGCCTTTGCCTCTGCAACCCAAGTCTTGTTGGCGATGTCTTTGCCATGCGCAATCGCATGAGGTCGAATCCTGGCAGTGGCAGCTACAACTGACCAATGACGACCTTATGTATGGAGACGCAGCAGTCAGCAGAAAGACCAAACACGTCTGTCGCAAGAGCGGTCCTGTCGTGTAGGATATGGCATGGCAAGCCCCTTTCCCGCACTGCCAGCCACACACTTGGATGGGCCGTCGTGGTACAGTTGACCACGACCTGACACGAGGAGACGTGCAGCGCGTCCAGAATGACGCTCCAGAATCGCCGCGGCGCCGCATGAGGAAAGACCTCCATGATGCAATCTCGGGCGGACTCCTGGCCCTTGCCTGGCAGGGCCTCTTCAAAATCATCGTCCGGCTCCTCCTCGAACGGTGCGTTGTCTGCCTCCTCCATGTCGTCAGGATCGATTTCAAGCCGATCCTTCTCCTTCATCTTGAGAAGCGCTTGCTTCTCGGGATCTGTACGCAAGGGACAGTTAAGGCAAAGACAGCGAAAACGCAGAGCTTCACCTTGCAGTCTGACTGACACGGCACTGACACTGCGCGTCTGCGTGTGCACTTGCATCTTTGGAGTAAGACAAGACACTTCGCTTGCCACGCACTTTGAGCGCCGGCACGGTAAACGGCACGTGGGCTTTCGCATCTGAGACCGCCACGACCATGAAGCGATTAGCAACTCGAGCAGATTGGGCCGAAGACTCCGCAGTCAACACCACAGTAAACAGTTGCGCAGTTGGAAACAACTCGCCCAACTTTGTAGTGACACCTCGTTGCCGCTTGTGTCACAAGGACAAATCTCAACCCACATTCCAAAAAGGTTCGAAAAACCTCTGCATATATGGATAGGACACTGGCCGACAGTGACAGTCTCTTGTTGCACATGACCGCCACGACGAACCGCTTCAACTTAGCGGCATCCAGGGCCGCCTGGATCGTCACGAGGTATTTCGTGTTGACAATGGTCCGGCTGGTCGGGGCTGAGACGATGAACATGGGCTTCCATGACGGAAACGAATTGGCTTTCAGACAGGAGATCAAGTCCTCTCACGCTCACTCGGCTCATTCAGCTCCTAAACCCTAAACCTTCGCAGGCCAGAACCGCTTTAACTGAACAGGTCCTGCTCGGAGGCATGCAAGAAAACGGTGTCCATTTGCTTGCTTGCAGCAAGCTGGAATTCATCCAGTTCGGCCTGGTCGTCCACGGCAAGCGCAACCAGGCCGTCATCCAAATCCATGTCGTTGTTGTTGCCGTCACCGCCATCGGCACTTGAGCCTGCAGCTGCCGCCTTGACCGGCACTGACTGGCCAGCTTGACTACCATCTGTCTTCCCCGCGTTGCCATTCTGCTGCTTCGTCAGTTCAGTCCACAGCCTCAAGTCCACAGTTGGACATACTACCTGTGTCCTATTGCGAAGCTTGTACCTGTAAGTGAAACCCAAAAAAAGATCTTGTCAACTCCACTGCCAAGCAGCTCAGTGCACACAGCAATGCCACGAACATTGCTTGAGAGCCCATGCAAGGGGATGTTTTCCTTGCAGAGTGCACAGATTTCTTGGCGACCTTGCTTTGTAAACAAGTAGCTCTTGACCCTCTCGGCAGCTGGAGTCTCCGCCAGGCTTCCGAACTTCTTGGCAAGGCGCTGCAGCCAGTTCTCCGCACACTTCAGCGGCATGCAGATCTCCTGGATGTACTGGTTCGCAGTGACAATCTTGTCGTCCTCGGACGCCTTCACCACCACCTCAAAGGACTCCACTGCCGCACTGACAGAGAGCCTCTCCTTCTCGGTCTGGCCGACCAGGTACGTGTTCTCGAAGATGAGCGCATCCTGCAGGGAAGGTTCCGGGCCCTGCAGAGCTTCCTAGGAACTTTGGGGTGTGAGGGTTTGAGGTGTTCGCCACTGTCAGAATCTGAACCACAGGAAACAACCAAAATGAAGCCAAACAGAACAAGCGGCCTTCAGGCACGCAAACCGCGCATCACTCAAAGCCTCCACCACCTCATCCGGCATATATCGGGCTGCTCTGACCCATTTCGAGATACGTGTCTTGGCAGACGAGCCCATTTGGTCGATCATCATCTTCGTGGTTGCCGACCAGTCCCCCCCGAGGGTACGCGCGCGATACTGGACTGCAATTTTGATCTTCTGAGCCTGGGCTGCGTGGGTGTCACGATTTGCGCGCTCAATCTTGTTTTGCTCTTAAACACAACACAGGGTTGCCCGGAGGCGGGGCGGCAAATCCGAGAGATCCCGGTCTCGGACCGAGATCCGCATCTTGCGGCAAAGGCCCACGCGACGGCGCTGAACACACCAAGATTCTGAGGTGGGGCGGCAAACCCCCAAGATCCCGATCTCGGACCGAGATCGGGATGTTTTTGGGGCAAGGGTCTAGGCACTGACTCTGCGCACGACAGGAAGTCAGGATGTGTCTGGCAAGGAAACGGGCGCCAAAAACACGCCGATCTTGAGCCGATATCGGGATGTTTGGGGCAAGGTTTTGCTAGCCCCCGACTTCGCTTAGTGCTTGCGTGAGCTTGCCGGGCACATCGACGCTTGGAGGGTATGTCTGGGGCAAGATTTCACTTGCCAGATACATCGGCATCTCGGATCAAGATCGGGATGTTTGGGGGCAAGGTTTTCGTTGCCAGAGATATCTGGACTTTGAGTTTGTCTCCAGCGACTTGGGGCTAAGAACCCTGACTAACCACCCTGAACCCTTCAAGCCTCAGGTCCCAGGTGCCTCTACCCGTGCTCTCGTGTCGTCTCGTGTTTCAGGCTTCGGGTTGAGGCAATCTCGTTGCAGCCTTGCTGCGACCGAATGCGGCGCGAACTTGTTCGAGTCCACTTCGTGTCGGTTCGCTTCGAAGCTCAGGTGGACCAAGCGATCATACCCCTGCCTATAGGACCAAATATCGCACCGCAGTCCTTCCTCAAA